AAAAAAAAAAAAAAAAAAAAAATTGAATTTTCAACAGACTCTTGGACCGGCAGTTCACATCCATCTGTTCATTTAACTTTAGCTTCTGTCTCAATCCCCAGAGCTACTGTCTTCTCCACGAATTTCCCTAATTCAGACTCGGGCTTCTTCAGTATTTTTCCTTTTCTGACGAAGACATTGTGAAGAAGGTAAGAACGCCAGCAAGCTTTGTCTGTGTCTTTCCTGCCTGGAATCGATTCATTGACCACTTCCTTCCGGTCACTGGTCTGTACCTCTCGGATCTTGATTTCCATCGTCTTCTCTGGATTGGGTAGACCTGTTGGTGCTGAGCGTAAGAGGCCTTCTGTATCTGATTGTTGCGTTTGTTGTTGTTGTTTTAGTAAAACCAATACGGAACAAGTGAAGCAAATAACCATCGGTAGTTGAGCTTACCATGTGCTTTGGTCATGGTCTGCCATTTTTTGACCGTGGAGCAGATTTTGTCACGAGTGAGATCTTATTCTTTTAGGAGAAACTAATCCCATATATTATGCAAACAAATAGAAGAATTATAAGTTAAACATTCTGTTTGTACGTGTCCTGTAAATCAGTCTCCTGTTATCACATTCATAGTTTTAATTTTTATGTTTTGGAAATACTGTAACAATGTTAAAATGAAAATAAAAGTAAAAAATATCCCATCCCACTACTCTAAAACATTTGACAGCTTTCAGTTTTCTTAGATTCATTTCAGTTCCTTTAAATACGTGTATATGATTTTTGCGTAGCAGAATAGAGCTGATAATAGTAATTCTAATAAAAAGCAACGCCATTATTTATGAGCTCTAAATACTTGCTTGGAAAAAGTGCTTCTCCTGAATTTGGACTCTCTATCAAGCCTTTGGGTAAATATGTTAGTATTCCCATTTTAAAGGTGAGGAAATCAAGTCTAGACAGTTCCTAAATTATGATGGTTTAATTTATAATTTTGCAACTTCATGACAGTCTGAAAGTGAATCTACACAACCACTCTGTTTTTTGCTTTCAGTACAATATTTAAGAAATTACACGAGACAATCAACACCTTATCATCGGGTTTGTGTTAGATGATTTCGTACAGCTGCAGGCTCTAGTTAAGTGTTCTTAGCGTGTGTGAGGCAGGCTAGGCCAAGCTGGGCTGTTCCATAGGTTACATATATTATATGCATTTTTGAAGATCTTTTCAACTTTTGATAGGGTTATTAAGATGTCACCCATCATGAGCCGAGGGGTGTCCATAATAGGGAGGTTGACACACTCTGAGTCACACATTTGATGAGTAGTGGAGCTATCCTTGTGCCATCTCCTCAGCTGTATCGAACAGGGTGGGCCAGGGTTGGAAGCAGCATTGAAGAGACAGATGCTCAGACCTGACCTGGCGAGTGGTACTGGGACCCTCAAGTGCCCTCCTGCCACCGGCTGGGCTGACTTCCTGTCTATTAGGTTAACTTCCTGTCTGCTGGGCTGACTTCCTGTCTGATGACATTACACAGTGAAGGACGGGCTGTGCTGTAGTAGAGCCTTGGGGATCTTATGCTGCCCCAACCAGAAAAAACCGACAGTCCTTGAAGGTCAGATCATCTCCTGTAAAGATTTATAAGCATCTGTTCCAAATGTTTGCAAGGTGCCAGTATCAGTGTGACCTACTAGGGCTCCGGCAAAGAGATGGAGTGCCTGGGGCCTGCTGGAAACACGCATGCAGCCAGCACAACAGTGTGAGCCTGTCCTTGCCCCGGTCATCCAAACAGAAGCCATCCGTGTGTGCAGATGGGGTTTCAGGCTGTGTGGCCAAGAATCAGGAAATGAAGGCACACAGAGGCCCAGAGAGTGAGGTTTCAGGGCCACCCTGGGTGTCCAGGACAGAGCAAGGCTGAAGCTCTGCAGCCAGGCAGATGGGAGCCAACACTGGCCACTGCCCAGGAGTCCCTAGGACTTGTGTGTGTGGCACTTCTCAGGGCCTCAGCAAATGCTTGTTGGTGGGATGGATGAATGGAGTTGCTTATATCAAGCAGCTGGAAAGGACTAAAATAAGACAGCCCAGCATCTTCCATTTCAGGTCCCAAATGGAGAGTTAAGTGTGTGCCAAGGAATGTGCAGGAGAGCGCAAGGAAGTGTGTGATGTATATACCTGCATGTGTGTATGTGAGTGTGTGAGCGTGTGTGTGAGTGTGCAGACGTGGAGGGAGGGAGGAATACTGACAAGAAGGGAAAGCTACAATTACTTTTGTAGCATCTGCTAGACGAAAAAGGATGATGATCATTTCTCATTTAATACTCTCAACAATGCTACGAGGTCGGTACTGTGCTGTGATTTATCAGTGTGGGCAGAAGATTCGGAGAGCTTAAATTCCCTGTCCAGGGTCGTTCTGGTGGTTGGCAGAGCTGAGCCTTGACCCTTGCTTGGCTCCAGAAGCCGGTGACCATCTCACCACACCGAGCTGACCAACACACTGCCAGGCCCTGGTGGCAGACTGAAAAGTGGGGAGAGGACGCCAGAGGAGGAAGCTGAGCCTGGGAAAGCCCTGCAAGCGGAGGCTCCTTAGAGCTGAGCAGAGGGTCGGCAGGGGACACTCCTGAAACCTTAACCCCATACTCGAGTGTTCTGTGAGAATAGAAGGACGCCTTCCTGCCTATGGGGACACTTCAGAGGACGGACATTTCCCGCGGTGCTCAGGCCTCCAGATCTGCCTTTACACAGGAACAGAGGCAGAGTTGATGGGCAGAAGGTCACCGTTACAGAGAGAATCCCATCCCCAGACTCCTTCCAGCAAGGCTCAGGGCAGAGGGTTCCCAACCCAGAGAAAGGATCCAGGCCAAGTGAGTGAAAAAGGCACCGTTTCCGAAGCCAAAAGAAAACCTTTTACTTTTAAAATCCCAGTATCCATGACAACTGGATGGAGTGAAGAAAATGGCCGTCCCTCCCCTCTGCATTGTTTAACTTTTCAGTTGCTGCAGCAGCTGAATATACTGGGCTCAGCCAGATTCTAGGGGTGCTTTCTTCGTTCTCCGTCCCCCTTTATTGCAGGCCCTCCTTGGTGCCAACCCGGCTTTGTCTTTTGCTGGAGACGTCTGTGAGAAAGAGGATGGGCAAAGTGTCAGACTCTTGGTGCTATTGAAAAGCCTTTGAGATGGGAGAAATTGGTGGAACAAAGGGACAGGGGAACAAAAAGCCTTGGCTGGCTCGTCCCTGCCTCTGAGGGTCTTTCTCGTCTTAAACTTGGGATTCGGAGCCTCTGACTTGGCCGTTCCCAGGGATGGTTTGGCAGGGATACAGAAAGAGCGGCCTAGGAAACTGGTCTGACAGCAGTATCGGCAGAGAGACACTGCCAGGGAGTCACAGCCTGGTCAGCTCAGGTTGGGGTCCCTGCCTCCCTCTCTCCGTCCCCCCTTCCTCCTTCCCTCCTTTCTTTCCCTCCTTCCCTCCTTTCTTTCCCTCCTTCCCTCTAACCTTCCTTTCATCCTTTCCTCTCGTGTGTGTTCCTGCCCACCTGAAAGAAAAAAACCCAATCAGACTGAGCTTCAGAACGGTTAAGCAATAAATTCCTTTCAATAATTTGTCTCGGGAAAATAATCAGATATTTGCACCAAGTCTTATCTCCTGGGTGATTTGTCACAGTGCTGTGAAATGACAGAAAGCACTTAAATGGCTGCAAACAAGACTGGCTCAGTACATTATGCCTTCTTTGGCAGAGGGATGATTTTTATTCGCGCCTTCTACCGCCACCTGTTGGACCCGTAGTGGGTCTTGGAGATCAGTGGCCACTCAGACAGATGTGGTCCCTGCCCTGGTGAAGGCCAGGGCCGTGGTTAGATCACGGTGAGTGTGGCCATGGAGTAGGGCCAGGGCCTGTCGGTGGCAGCGTAGCCTCTCCTGGGGATGGGGGAAGAATTCTCTAAAATCGATGACCTCAGACTGTGGTCTGAACAACGAGCTGGGGACACAGGGCAACTGGATGGTGTGAGGGAAGGGACAGGTGAGGCAGAGGAGCTGCCGGGGCCGCGGTGAAGGCCCAGCTTGGGGACAAGCGTGGGTCGTCCGGGGAGAAGAAAGGGATGGGGCAGCGGGTGCAGGACGAAGGCCGGGGTGTGGGGCCAGAGGGGAAGGCAGGCCCAGCTGGCCCTCAGGGTGGTGTCGAGAGAGGGGAAGGCCTTGGGGAGAGAAGGGCCCGCAGCCTAGGGAGGAGGTGGAGATGGTGAGGGGCATGGACAGGAGGAGATTTAGGGGCTAAAACTGGCGGGGTGTGGCGGGGGCCTGGGTACTGTAGGAGGTGGGCGGAAGAGGGCAGGTCGGTCAAGGACTGTGCGTTAGCCTCCTAGGCTCCCACAGCACGACACCACAAACGGGTGTTTTAAACCACCTGAAATTTATTCTCTCACAGTTCTGGACCTGGTGTGGGTGGGACTGGCTTCTCCCGAAGGCTGTGAGGGAGAATTGGCTCCCTGCCCCTCCCCTAGTTTCTAGTGCTTTGATGGCAATTT